TTGTTATAAATATCCCACGTTACTGAATGATAAATCTGATATTCCAAGAAAATTATTAACAGACTCCAATTAATAACCACATGCCTCGTGTTCCAGCAGAAGAAAGAGCGAGGTCTATTAATAGGAGCAGGAGTGATTCTAAATCCGAAGATGGAAATAATTGGTTCTGATGCAATTGTTTCCCTGGCAGTTGTGCTGGGCTATTAAAGAGTAGATTGTATGATAGCAGCTTGCAAATTACATTGAAAAAAAACCCCAAAAAAACCCCAAACCAAACCAAAAAAAAAAAAAACACCACAGGGCAATGTGAAACAGAACAAGAAGTGACAAGTGCTAACCTACAAAGGAACTTGGTGACATTGCCAAGGTAGCAGGAATAGTAAGGGGGGAACATTCTGTTTTCATTTAGGATGCATCTGCAAGCGTTGATTGTCCCAGCTAATCAAACCAGGTGAGCAAAAAGGAAATTACAGCTTCTTGTCCCGCATTGAGGTTTGTGGGGATAGCACTGCTCTTTTCCCTTTGGATTTTTTACCACAGAGAGCAGCTTTATATTGTAGAGCTTAGAAGGTCTGTTTGCAGAGGTATTCACAAATAAATAGCTCTTGGGTTTCAGGTAGACTGAGGTCCTTCCAGACCCAAAGAGGTTATGGCAGCTACAGTCATATGGCTCCTCTGTACAAGTTGTTTTTATACAGGTGCTTCTGTACACAGAGCATTGCTGTGTGTAATAATTACATTATTAGGGTGGTGTTGCTTTAAAAATAGCCCTTTGACCAGTTTTCACCCAGGAAAACCAGTTTATGTGATTTACTCCAAATAACACTTTCGTTCTTCCCACTCTAAGGACAAAATTAAATTACATACACTTTCCTGACAGCAGGAGAGAATGTTCTGGATGGAAATGCTACTCAGCATTACACAGTGCCCACTGATGCACCAGAAACTCTTCCACGGACTTCACCAGCCACGGATGCACCGTGAGAGCACATTGCAATGCAACACAAATCACCACTTGACTTTGATCATAACCCGTAAAAGGACAAACCACAACTTGTTTAAAAGGTCAAGATTGAAAAATGTCATCTTGGAACTTGACCAGCATCCAGTAAGGCCACTAAAGATTAACAGCAAAACCCTTAATGTGAGCAGAAGTTACCCCAACACGAGTGGTTTTGCAGTATTTACAGTACTGATGCACTCTCAAGAACTGCCAGGCTCGTTGCTGCAAAACATCCTTGTAGGCAAACTGGGGAAGTGAGGGCTGGATGAGTGGGCAGTGAGGTGGATTGAGAACTGGCTGAAGAACAGACCCCAGAGGGTTGTGACTCATGGCACAGGATCAGGTTGGAGGCTGTCACCAGTGGTGTCCCCAGGGTTCACTGCTGGGCCCAGAATTGTTTAATTTGTCTGTCAATGGCTTGAATGAAGGGGCAGGTGCCTCCTCAGTAAGTTCACTGGTGACACAAAGGTGGGAGGAGTGCCCAATACAACAGGTCCTCCCTTCAGGAGGACCTTGACAGGCTGGAGAGATGGGCAGGGAAGAACTGTCTGAAATTCGAACAACAGCAAATGCAGGGTCCTGCACCTGGGGAAGAACCACCCCAGGCACCAGCACAGGCTGGGGATTACCTGCTGGAGAGCAGCTCTGGGAGAAGGACTTGGTGGACAAAAAGCTGTCCCTGAGGCAGCAGTGTGTCAGGGGGCCAAGGAGGCCACTGGGATTCTGGGATGCATGAGGAAGAGCATTGGCAGCAGGTCAGGGAGGGGTCCTGTCCCCCTGTGAGGCACATCTGCAGGGCTGGGTCCAGTTCTGGCTCCTCAGGACAGGAGGGATGTGGAGCTGCTGGACCTGGTCCAGGGGGGGGTGATATCTGCAGGGATGGAGCATCTCTGGGAGCAGGAAAGGCTGAGGGAGCTGGGGCTGTTCAGCCTCCAGAGCACACACTGAGAGGGGACCTCCCCCAGGTCTGTGGGGGCTGCAGGGAGGGGGCAGAGGATGGACCAGGCTCTGCTCGGGGGGGCCCAGCAATGGCACAAGAGGAAGGGGCAGGAACTGATGCCCAGCAAGTTCCACCTGGACAGGAGGAAGAACTTCTTTGCTGGGCAGTGACCCAGCACTGAACAGATCACCCAGAGAGGGTGTGGAGTCTCCTCCCTGGGGATATTCCAGAACCCATCTGGACACAATCCTGTGCCATGTGCTCTGGGATGACCCTGCTGGAGCAGGGAGGTGGGACCAGATGACCCCACTGTGGTCCCTTCCATCCTGACCCATCCTGTGTGGAGGCAGCTCCTTCTGCTGGAAGGGAGGTTTGCTGAGAGCAACCACTGCTGCTGTGCTTAAATCAGGAACCAAACACAATTAAGGATATCTTGTGCTGTCTGACAAAGGTCAAACAAGAACATGCATTCCTGTCCATCAAAACTATCCCTGCTATCACAGGAACCTTCAGAGGTTGAATTTCCCTGGATGCTGCACAGTGACAGCAGGGCCATACACGTCTTCAAAGAGGGACAGTGCTGATTGTCACGGTCATTAGTTTTATTTTCTTCAGTTTCAGCCTAGCCCAGAGGCAGACCCAAAGTTCATTTTCTGCTGCAATGCACGAACAAAGCTTGACCCACAGCGGTGTCCTCACCGTGTGAATCAAACTCTGACAACAGCCAAGCATCTTTATTTGTTGTTTGGGCCAGTTTTCAGCGGCTTTTCGTGATCTGTAAACAAGAGCAAGGACAGCAACCAGCCTAATTTGCCTTTGCAAACATTGTGGTGGCATGACTTTCTTCCCTTTTTCTTTCTTTTCGAGGAGATGAAAGGGCTTTTTGTTTCTCCACCCTCCCCCCCTTGTCAACAAGAGGGAAAGTTTCCTTTTGACAGGGAAACAAACACTCAAATAAGATGCTAATAACATCTAAGACATGGGCATATTGAAGACTTTCTGGCCAAAACACATGCAAAAAAAAAAGATTTATATTGTGTATGAAGGTTTACAGCACACCCCAATTTTCAGAGGAATAAATTATGTCTGCTTGAGTTCTAACTACACAGGGCTAATAAGGACAAAGAGTTATACAGTTCTGCTTCTTTGATTTAGAATTCAATCTCAGGTTCAAAGTTCTGATTCTGCTTTATTTTTATGCAAGCATGTGGGTTGGGGAGATCAGAGGAATCTATTCCATCTCCCCTGCTGCTCCTGTATTTTATGTAGGTGACAGTTTTTCTGTTATAATTTCATTACAAAAAATAATTGGTATCTATTTGCCCAAGATTAACTGTGCATCTGCCTCTATATTATACAAAAAATTATGCTACATCCAGAATCATATATTTCTGTGAATTAATGACACAGCCCTTGCTCACTCAAAATCCCCGTTGAGGAAAAAAAGAATTTGCTTTTAAAAAGGACTGCAGGATCAGTAAATCTAAGCTAAACTTGACAACAGGACCATTTTATTTGGGAAGAAATTTTTTTATTTGGGAAGGAATTCAAGGCAAATGAGCCCAGCTCATAATGTGCTCAAACAGAAAAGAGAAAAACAGGCTTGCAATGCTGCCCCAATGGCTGACATAATTTTGCTTGCTTTCCTTTCCTGTTAACTTGAGAATGCAAATTGCTTTGCTGTCAGGGTACATTTGTTCCCACTAATTCAAGACGCTATAACAAGCCAAAATATTTATTCTTTTTTTTTTTTTTTTCCCTCCGCTCCAATTTGTGTTTTTTATCATACTGGGAGCATCATCCACGGATTTCATTTACTGGAACATTGTGCAAACAGCCCTGACGGGAAAGTCACCTCCCTGTGATAGGAAAACTATCCATAAAGGAGGCTCTTAATGCTTTGGGATGTGTTGCCTCAAAGGGCCCCAAAATTCTATTTAGACCGACACTTAAAGGCCAAATATCCCAAATAACTGCTCAAATAACCCATCTGGAAAACCCTGGGCTTTTCAGAGGATTCTTCCTGCTTTTCAGTAGATGGGATGGACACCAGAACACATCCTTTTAATTAGAACTGGATGAGCAAACAGAAGCAGAGGGGATATTTGTATAGTTCAATCCTCATGCTGTTCATGAATATCTTCCAACTGATGCTGCCTCGTTTTCAGCTGGGTATACAATAGCACTGATCAAATTGTTTTCCTCTGAAAAATGATAACTGGATTTTGATAATTTCATCATTTGTATGTAAAGCACTTCTGCTCCTATAGGAAATGAGATTTCAGCTAAAAAAAAAAACCAAAACCATTACTGTTTTCCCTGAAAATTCAGTTTTGCATTTTTCTTGGGGGGTGGAGGGGGAAAATCAACATTTCCCAATCAGAATTGTTTGGGCCACTTAAGGGGCTGAAATTGGTTTCTTCCAGCTCCTTTGTTAATGTCTGAAACAACCCAGTGAGTCACCCCCTTAGAGCAGTGGGTACAAGTCCAGATTCACTCCTGACAAGTGCTGAAGTTCAGAGCCTGTTTGTCATCTGCTCCTTCCCTGTGAGCTGCTCCATCCTTGGCCTCTCTGTAACAACACTCAAACGAGCTCTGCACAAGTGGCTTCTGACTTTGGTATCTTAGTTATGGGCCTAAAATTAGAGGGGGGGATGAATCAGACCACAGAAATTCATGAACAAGTCCTTTTTAACCAGATTATTTCTCTTCATCTCCCCCATTCACGGAGCAGCTGCTCATAATACTTAACCTCATCTCCTGGTGTCCTTTCCCCACGTACCTCATCTTGTTTTTTAGTCTCATTTTGATCTGTTCTGACTTCCATGGAGTCCTTTGGTTTACCACAGTACGTGCTCAGAATCAGGTCTCTGCTTTTAGTAAAGGATTCAGACATAAAAACATGAAGAAAACAAACCCACTGAAGCCCTTCCAGTCTTGAAAACACAATCAAAAGATAAGATATGAAACCAAAGCCCTTTGCTACCAGACATCTATCAAATATTTTGGCTCAGTCTTATTCAATATTCTCCATCAAGAAATAAAGTCTGCCCTTACCATTCTCACCAGACGTCTTGTCTTTTCCATTTGTAGCTCCGGTTCCTTGTCTCTGTCAGGGAGAAAAAAAAAACCAAAACAAGTGGTTAGAACACACTTAGACTTGCATTTTCCTCTTGGAATTACTGGAAGTTACACCTGGATTTCTCCTATTAACGTTGGATGATCACTGACTCTCATGAAACGTTGCTTTAAGCACGACCAGTCAGGACAGGAATGTTTAGTGCCGTTTAAAGGTTGGACTTGATGATCTTGGAGGTCGTTTCCAACCTAACAAAGGACTTATATTCTGTGATTCAGGTAGAGCTGCATCACTGTGTGCCCCTGGATATAATTATCCCATGTTAATGATGGGATATGTGTAATGAAGCTTCCAGCAGTGTAAGGGTTTGATCTACAATCCATCTCATCTCCTCATCTCCCTTCTGTGCCTCCCTGTCCGTGGCTCAGGAGGATTACAGGGATGCTATGAGATTTTGCAAGGAGCAAATTCTAAGGGCCAAAGCCCATGGAGAAGTCAATTTGGCCAATGCCATAAAAAAAAGACAATAAAAATGTTTCTGTAAATATATCAGCAACAAAGGAGAATCTCCTTCCTTAAGAGATCCATTTTCTGCTTTGGCCGCAGGAGAAGATGGAACTTCCCACTTCAACTCACTCTCTGTTCAAGGAACAGCCTCCTGAATTTCCATGAGACCAACTGATTTAAGTCACCAACAGCAGTGCAGCCCAAATATTCACAGTGGCAGGGCTGGACTAGTGTGGTTACACTGCCAGGGAACTTCCCAGCTTAGGAACGGTCACCCTGTGAAAATTATTCTGTGTCCCCTAGAAAGCATCTCCCAGGCACTTTATAGCATCTTAAGGTACTTTGGCAAATACAGCAAGACTTACATTTCTTACACAAAATTATTCATATTTGTTTAAAGAAATCATCCTCAAGGGTTATACATGTAAAAACCCAGGAGTGTTAAACTCAGGGAGCAAATCCAGCTGCATTCAGCCATCGGAGGCAGAGCACCCTCCTGCATGAGGGAGGTTGAACAGCTACAGCAGCACTGCAAACCAAATGCTTTGTGCCAAGACATGGACAGTGTCGGTTCTCTAGTGAAAATTCACACAGACATATTTGTCTGGAGTGTATATTATATATTTATCTGCTTAAAACCCTCTCTGCTGCTCTGCTTTCTGCCCTTCATCTCCCAAACACAGTGGTGTTTCCAAGGTGCTTTTTGTGTATGGAGACGATCGCGGTGCACAAACAAAACCTTCACGTGCCCTTAGCTCTGACACAGAAGGGGGAAAGTAAGTTCTTCCACCCTCTCAGGAGAATACAAGAGCTACACATGGTTTCCAGTGGTGTCCCATCTCCTTCTCCAGGACAGATTTCAGTGCACCTGTCTCGTCTCTGCTGGCTCTGCCTCATCTCTCCCAGAGAACACAACTCTGAGTCTCAGCCTCCCCCCAAAATGAAAATGCATTATTTGTTCCTCCCTGGAGCCTCAGAGCCCAGGCAGGACGGAAAACTTCACCAGTAACAATCAGAGAAGGGGATTCTGAAGGGATAAACATCTTTGACAAAAGCATAAGTTACCAACGGCCAGAAATCAATGAATCCACCCAGCAATCAGTTTTGCTAAGGACATTAACCTTTATGACTTTGTTTGGTTAATATTTCAACTCCAATCAACATTTTAATTTTAGTGTTAATTTATTAGGACCTCCTCCCTCAAAAACCCAAACTACTGGATTTTCCCTTCAAGAAAAAGGTACCTATATTGCTTTTTCCTCCCCTGTACATTTTTTAGTGCTTTTCCAAGTTGTCTTATTTCCTGAGCATTTGAGGCTGTGCTACTTAGGCTTTATGAAAGCTTCTCTTTCCTCCCCCGGCTATACCTGTCAGGTTTAGTCTGCTATTGATGGAGTGCTGGAATATGGATTCACACATTTATTTCGTGTCTCCAGACTTCCCCTCGGGGAGAGGGGAATATTGTCAAGGAAAATGAATAAAAACTTGGGTTTGGTAAATGAAGGTTTTTCTATTCATGAGGTCACGGTACTTTTCTTTAAGCCTGAAATCAGCTGAACTATTTTACAGCCATTTGGTTTGATTGGTGACCAGTGGACTTCTACAGGAGGAAGCCTGAAAGTCTGCCAAACCAACTTCTGACAGCTTTTCCTTTAGTTATATGGGTATTTGGATCCATAAACCCTGTGCTGTCTTCCAAGTGACTGCAACGGATTTGAAAGTGAGAACCAGATTCTCATTGACAAGGCACTGAAACTTAGGAAAAAGCCACTTAGAATGGGATCATCCTCCTGCAAAACCTTTAGCCTTTCATTTCAATACATTCAGTGGACCTGCTTTTCAAAACATTTTCAAGATGTTGGTGTTATTGGCAGCTGGAGCTTCTTTGTTCTTTCATCACCTACTGCAGGCTCAGAACAAAGTTGAGCTTTCCAATGTGCTTCAGAGCACAGGGGGACTAAACATGAGGGGGAGTTACTGCAGGTGTTTTCAAGAGGCAGTGGATGAAAGCCCTCCAAGAGTTGGTGTAAAAGGTATTGTCCTCAGATGCAAGAGATCAAATTTAAACCACAGAAATACAAGAAAAATGATATTAATTTCTAGGGTCTGATGCTTTCACAGGATGGGTCAGGACGGAAGGAACCAAAGGTCATCTGGGTCCCACCTCCCTGCTCCAGCAGGGCCATCCCAGAGCACATGGCACAGATTGTGTCCAAATGGGTCTGGAATATCCCCAGTGAGGAGACTCCACACCCTCTCTGGGTGATCTGTTCAGTGCTGGGTCACTGCCCAGCAAAGAAGTTCTTCCTCCTGTCCAGGTGGAACTTGCTGGGCATCAGTTCCTGCCCCTTCCTCTTGTGCCATTGCTGGGCCCCCCCGAGCAGAGCCTGGTCCATCCTCTGCCCCCTCCCTGCAGACCCCACAGACCTGGGGGAGGTCCCCTCTCAGTGTGTGCTCTGGAGGCTGAACAGCCCCAGCTCCCTCAGCCTTTCCTCCTGAGAGAGGATTTCCATTCCCTGCAACTTTGAGCAGCTCCCTTCATTCAGAGCTTGCTTCTAAAACTCCCCAGCATTTTCTAAGCCGAGCACCAGGACAGAAACACTGAATAAACTTTCCACCAGGCATCAAAGAAACAGCAGAGCTAAAATGAACACGAGTGCAAACCCGTAATGATTATCCAGTAAAACAGGATCAACAGTTTTGTTGCTGTGTTGCGTAGGAGGAAACACAGTTTATGACTGCTTGGGGCTATATTAATTTTTAACTCAGTGGTTTTACAGAACACCAAAGACACATAATTAAAAATGTCTCCAAAAATCAAAGTTAGTCCCAATTTGTTAGCAGAGGAAGCAAAAAAGACTGCTGCCATATGCTCAAAATCCCAGTAAGAAAGGAACAGGTTCACTTTCCTGTTAAATTCTCAGTGCTACACACAGCACTAGTTAATGTGGGATGAAAAACTGTACTAAATTAGTCCCCCAGGCGTACAAACTGAGGTCAAAAGTGAATTTGCAGCCAGGAGGACATTTCAAGAAGAATGTCAAATTACTGCAGCAGCTTCTCCACTCATCCTTCAGCCCCTCCTGCCCCCCCGAGCCTAATTTTTGCCTTTAATCTTACATTCTGTTCTCGTCTTGAAATAGCCTGACCTTTTCATTTATGCTTTTAATTATCACCTCAGTGATAGGGATCGTAGCCAGGTGTTGATTACAGAGTTTCTGGGGGGCAGAAGGGTTGTTTGCTTTATGATGGAGCCACAGAAAGCCCAAGATCAGGGTACATGAAGCTGCCAGAAGGTTCTGAGAAATGGGCAGCAACAGCAATACCATCATCCTGCTGCTTCATCTCAGGGCAGGGTCAACGAGGCACAGCGAGCTGGATCCCAGGAAGGCAGTGAAGAAGCATCCAAGGGTGGGATTAAGAGAATAAAAACAGTGGAATTTTTTTGTACGGTGGACAGCAGAAGGAGCCAGAGTGGACTTGACTCGGGACACAGCCACATGAGAAGTTATTAGGATGTTCTGCACTCCCTGGCAGTGAAGTCTGTGCATGTCCTAAGATTTACTTAAGCTTTGTTTTCCTACCAAGTCCATCCCTGACGTGTGACAGAAGGAAATACATGTTGGTTCTGTGCAGCAGCACAAAAATGGTTGTGGCTTGGCCCACTGTGTGCCAAGAAATCTTCCCTCTCAACTACCATCCCTTTTCCATACAAAACTTTCTCTGTAAGAGACATAAATCAAATCCAACTCAACTACTTCATAAGCACCTTCTTCTTTTTTTTTTTAATAGCCTTCTGCTTTAATTAACAAATTCAGCTGTTTCAGCCTCGAAGTGAAAAAAAGTACTGAAAAATACATTTTAAGGATTTATGAAGTTTATGACCTTTCTGCAAATAAAAATGTCACTGTAAATATCTGCTGAGGGACTTTCCATGTTTTCCAAGTAAGGAAAGCTTCCTAATCACAGCAGAATGAACAGGATAAACAGGAATTTCTACCTACCGTTTTTCAGGACTAAATGCTTAGAATCACAGAAAGGTTTGGGCTGGAAGGGACCTTAAAATCTTCCACTTCCAACCTCCTGCCACGGGCAGGGACACCTTCCACTAGACCAGGTGGCTCCAAGCCCCATCCAACTTCCTGCACAATTCCTTGAATTCAGTTAGGGTTGAACTACCCAGAAACAAAGTAAGAAGCAAGAGTTCTTACAAACTGATCTTGTCTTGTGTTGGTTGATCTTTGCAGGTACTGAGAGTTTTTGGGTACTGAAGGAAGCTCCAGATGAGGTTCATTAAACTACAGGCAGAGGCAGATCCCAAAGCACATCTGTTATCTAACCATTACTGCCTGAAGGGTCATGGTGCATTTATTAGTTTCCCCCAAGTGGAACTTTGAGGACATTCCACCAGCACGGAACACTTCTCACAAGTGAAGAAGGAATTAGAGAAATCTGGTTTAAAAACACGTAACAAATGTGGGACTACACACTTCACAGTCTCAGTGTGCCTTCTGTGGAGGCAC